TCATGCTTTTTTTTGGCCTGTGCTTGGCGGTTTGATAGAAGAACGTTTTAGCTCTCCTGGTGATTTTACAGTATACCTCAGCTTCATTTGATCCAGCTCCTCTTAAGTCCTGCTAGCTGCTGATTGGGGGTTCTTCCTAGTGTTTCAATTCAAAACACTATTCTGTTAATGGAGTAAATTTTGGAAATGTAAGTTACCAAAACGCTTTTAGGGAACTTTCACACCATAGTTTTGCGCTAAAGGCATGTTAACAGTGTATTTAGCGCAGTTATCGCACAAAGCAATGTATGCACTACTCCACTACTCTTTTTCAACGCACAGCAATGCATTGTATGCTATTGTATTACCATGCAGTGTAATGGTACACCAACACACCTTGCTGCTGGGAGGTGCATTGGGGTGCCATTCAGACTGAATGACAAACACAAGCACACCTAGCGTGCACTGCATTGCGTTGTGCAACAGCAGTATTGTGCCTTTAGCGCAATGCTGTGGTATGTATAGAACCCTATATAAGTGTCACTACCTCGTTAATTTTACAGCGATTTGTAACTCAGTTGCTCAGCAATTGTTTGTCATATCTGTGAAAAGCTCGCCAGTGACATTGGAACAACATTCACCTCTATGACTTAGCTAAAAATCATTCATTTGAAGTGATTGGTACCGGTGAACATAATGATGTCGCATGAGTTTGACCTATAGCTGTGAAACTACCAAATCAACCAAAATTACACGTGGCACATGATTGAATTAGGATGAGTCGGGATGTAGAGCCTGAGAATAGAATGCTATTTTCATATTTTATGCAGTATAATATACCTGACTTGTTGTAAAATATGATGCAGGCTGATTTTGTACAAGAAATATATAGAGAAAGGCCTTCTGTTGCCCCAGGAGGGGGCCAGCACAATCACAGGGGACCCATTGTGGGGAAACGGAGGTCTGGAGATCGCTAAGAGAATAGTTATTGATCTGATTTAGCCGAGCTGCAGAGCAGAGGTCAGCATTGTCCCTCAGCTGCCATTGTCCTCATGTTTTCTTGTTAAGAGAAGCTAATTTTTGGCAAGTCTTGACATTAATGGGTCAATCAATCCATTACAGCAATGTAAGGAAAAGCAGTCGTCCTCTATTGCTGTTTCCCTCTGCATCACCAGCCACTTCCTCCTTTGGTCACTCATGTTCCTCTTGGTAGTTTACCACCCACCGGACCTAAACAGGAAATTCAGGAATAGCTCTGAAACTGCCTCTGATGTCACCGAGTGGCAAACATAAAGTGTATTGAGTGCTCTAGAAGAGGCATCTACTCGTCCTTTGTGGGACATCATCGACCCCTCTACAGTCTCAAAAAAAACTAAATAACACATTTACAATTGTGCCAGGTGAACTTTGAGTTGCGTTGCTTGTTTGCATTGTGTTGCACATGGCTGACCTTAGCGGGCGGTATTTTGAAGGTTCAGATTGAAAGACTTTTTTTATCCCATGTTTCTCCGTTTCCTGACCTCATTATGTGACATGCTGAATCTTGCCACTAGTCTCCAAGGCAACACGTTGCCAGGGTTTTCTGTAGTCAAAACGCTGGGCACATTTACAAAAGATGTCACATTCTTAAAGGGAAGAGTTTCAAGTAAAAAAAAAACCCTTTTAAGCCTTTAAGCTAAAATAGGCACAATGGAAGTATTCTCGATCTCTGCACCGTGTGTGGTTAGCATTTTTTGGTGGCATATGCTTCACTCAATAAGGTCAAGGATAGCCAAGGACGGAGCAGGTATCCCGCCAAGTGCGGTGGTTGAAGAGATAATCTGCCTGATCTCCAATTAGCTAATCAAACACGCATATGACTCAATGAAGGATTCACCAACAGGTTAGTTGACCTACCTGTGCGCTGAAGAGAAACTCCAACTCCGTAAATCACACCCAGTAGCAGAGATCCATAGAAAATATAAATCTCTGTGATCATCTGTAGCTTTTTTCCAGCCCGGTACAATGTATTTCATTAAGACTCTGGAGGAGAGGCTGACCTGAATATGCATGTTTAATCATAATACAATGGTCCAAGACACCCTCTCAAGGTTTGAAGGCATATGGGTCTATGGCCACATTAAGCAGTAGAGGCCGGTATGGATATAAGGCTGCACAGAACACCATAGGCACTACTTGAAAAGGCAAATAATATTAAATTAATATATTTTATAGGATAACGGCTACTTTATGAAGCGGATGGAAACAGGTTGCTCATGGTTACCAAGCAGATGTTCACTTTTACAACACAAATATGACCTAAGGTCCAATGGCCGATGTGAGCAACATGTATTCTTACCCCTCAGCAAATTGGCACTTCATTTAACTCTAAACAGAACAAGGAACTATAGATTTACATTTTATCATTACATTTTAGTTTTTGACAGAGAGAGAATTTCGTTGTTGTCTGTGTCCTATTCAGGAGATTTCCCATCATTAACTGTCATCGAGAAACAACCTAAAAATGCCTTCTTAGACAGTTGTCACTGAAAGAGGTCTCCATTAGAAAATCCACTTCCTGTTCTGCTGACAACTATAACATTTTGGATTTCCCATCACTTTCAGTCCAAGTAACACCAGGACAAATAGGGTGAATCCTCCAAGCGGAGACACAGACAGCACACAAAAAAATGGTTAAAGTAGCACTTCAATTTCTATCCTAAATCTGTCATGTCACTTTATGACCAATCTCCAAATAATACATTATAGTCACGCTTTGATATACCTTCTTGAAAATGGCCTGCAGACTCTTGGACGGTTTGCCTTGTTTCTTTTTCTAACAACTGTTGACTGCAAATGCATGCATATAAGTCAACATAATAGAATCATAAAGGAGTCACATTGTAAAAGTCTTTAAAATCAAAAGAAAATTTACCTTTTTTGTAGTTTGGAAGAAATGATTTATTTTTCATATATAAGGTTGGATTTGATATATATGGCATTAAGTTTCTTCTTGCTCCTATTGTTGGATGATGAAATAAAAGAATGTGTAGCACAAGATTTTGCCTGTGTGTACTGTGTCCAGTCACTGACTGTTCATGAATGGACATTTCCACATTTGGAAATGCCCTTAAAAAAAAAAGAGCATCCTTAATCCCTGTACCTGTATAATGGCGCTCCCTCCACGGGCTCCCCCTTCCCCCATTTTTGCTGGAGGAAAGCACTGGAGAAATCGGGGGTTGCACAAAGGAGATGTAACGCAGTTTCAAACTCCCATCTCCAACTGCGTCCGCTGAAGGGCTTTGAGCCTGCGTTACAAAATGGTGGTAGGTAGTTGCGGGAGAGGAAAGGATGGGAGGCGGGGCAGACAAAACACTCCACTGCTCTAACATTTTCACGATAGGTCCTCCCTTTGTGGGGGCCCGATTCCTTCAGGGCTTCCCTCCAGCACAAAAAGGGGTCCCGTGGACTGGACCCCATTATACAGGTACAGGGAAGGGGATGCATTTTTAAAGGACGTCTTCTAAACGTGGAAAAAGTCCTTTAAAAACATCTGCTTTATCAATCCATTAACAGCAGGGAAAGGAACAGACCGCTGTCAGTGCTGAGCCATTGTATTGATTCTAGCCAGGAAGGTGCCACTTTTGTCCCTGTATGAATAAGTGACAAAAGAAACGCTAGTTTTGTTATATTCTGTGTCTATACTGGGTATTTTTTATCCCAATTCTCTTTTTCTAGACAGTGGAAGCTCTGCTTCTAACCACCCAGGGGATTCTACTTGGGGAAAAGGACAGGTATGTTGTAAAAAAAGCACCTCAATCACTTCTCCATTCTGTATATACGCACATGCACAAAGCAAACACTAAAAGCTACAGATCACTGGGACAGAATAGAGATCGGGGCCACCAAATATCTCCAAACAAATCTGATTTTTCTATTCTTTGCTAATTAATATACTTTACTTGTTTTACGATTTGCAAGATACCTGGGGATAAGAGAAAGGAAGCAAAGTAAACCCGCCTTATACTAAACACAAGGGTTGCTTCAGTATTCAGGAGCAAGTCAGTCGAGGAGTCAGCTACAGACCATGTGCTCCGGTTGATGACGCCACACAAGAGATATTACGTTTAAAGTGTAACTACAGCCCAGTTTTTTTTTTCATTGTTGTATAGAGTGGGGAAGGGTTAGATCTTTGGTCACGTTGACCCCTTGGGGAGATTCTACCCCTATTTCCTGTCCTGGTGGCTACACCAGGAGAGAAAAAAACCGTTTTGGACCCTATGAAAGTCTACTAAAAAACGTTTTTATTAATGTCTGCGAGATTCTGTGAAATACCAATCTCACAGGAAGTGAGGGTGAATCTCACCAGCAGGCACACAGGCAGCAATTAAAACTTGGCAGATGTTCTAACCCTTCCTCTTTCTATCCAAAACTTTCCGGCAGGAGTTCCACTTTAAATTGTTTTTGTAAAAGTTTGCCACCACCAGCTGTCATTATTGGGACGCGTTAGCTACCTGGCTCATTGGATTTGCTCAGCCCTACAAAAAGGGATCTGAGTACACAGCTGGTGAATAGAAATAGCAGCCACAGCTTGGTCCTCTGACCTCCCAGGTCCGGACACCCTTCTATCATTAAAGAGAACCAGTCATTTCTTACCAAACCTAGAGTGCAGACTACATCTGTTAAACCATGGTCTAAAATCCCTCTGTGCATATGAACAGGACCAACACTGATCTCCTGCCACTCATGGCGTCATTGCCTGCAAAGCTGAATGCCTTTGCCTTCCCAATCCCAGGGTCAATATGAAGCTGATTCTTTGTATATTCATAGATTTGTCTGCAGGTTTTCAACCCCCTTTGGCCTACATAGAGGGATAGGAATGTATAACAGCACTGTGCACGCTTGAGGTATGTTAACACGTGACTGGTTCTCTTTAAACCCTAGGTTATCATGGAGCAGGTTTCTTTCAATGTCTTCCTTGTGAAGTTGCAACAGCAGTGGCAGTCTGGGTGGTCTTATCTCTCTCTTCTGTGTGTCAATAGAAAAGGCCCAAAATTGCAGAGGAAGGTGCAGGGGATCAGCGCGGTGGACATGTACCGCTGGAAGTTGTCTTCACATGAGCCGTGCAGTGCCACCTGCACTACAGGTTAGTCATGAATGTTTATTTCATTCAGCCCATTATTGGGGACCTAAGAAAAAGTGCACTGAGTACAGTGGCTCAGTGGTTAGCACCGCGTTCAATGAGTTACTAGTAAATATGCAGTATCTCCACAATAGTGATTCTCTCCCTCCTGTGAGCTCTCCTACGTGCCTCCTCCTCCTCTCTCCCATCAGTTATAGAGCACCCATCATTTGATGTAAAATGCAGATTTCATACAAATAGTATAAAGCAGCAGCTATAGATAAACTTACAAAAATTGACCAAAACCATAAAATCCGTTTGCTTTTAGAAAACTCACTGCGGCGCCCTCTAGTGCCTTCCAACAGCTGGATAGTAGGGATGAGCAAAACAAAGAATCTTCTTTTAAACACAATTCTGGTGAAAATCAAGAGGTTTCAGTGAAATTTCACTATTTTAGTGAAATGTATTGAATTTAACAGGGAAGGCATTTTTAGCGGTGCAATGGACTTACGGAAACTCCACCAACTATCCTGATACTGTTGTTGTACCATAAATAGCCACTCATTAACATCACTATTTTGTTTTTCTTTTGACAAAAATGAAAAAAGAGTAAAATAAATAAATAATAAAGAATAGCAGCAGTACAAAAAAACAACAAATACAAAAAAAAACAACAAATAATAAAAACAAAGATTGAATTAATTATAAATAATTTTTAAAAAAACGGAATTATCCAATAAATATATCTCCCCCTCCCAAAAAAAGCACACACCCTGTAAATGAAGCGGATCATTTTCTTTTTTCTTTCATATTTGGCCTAAGCAACAAAAATGAGGGAGTTTGTGCTTCAGCAAAATTTTGCTGACGGTAAGAATGGTAATTTCACAGTGCAGTCATTTTTACTAAAATGACTCCTCTCATCCTTATTGGACAGCCCTGTTCCATAGAGATTCACACATCACCTGTTGGCAGTCAGCATGTGCCCTGTGTAAGAATGAGCCTGGTTTCCTCTGGCAGGAGGGCACAGACTGGGATTCCAGACAAGGCTCTTTCTGTGGCTGAGGGACAGCCTTCCCGTGCCATGTCCCCTTCTTCTCCTCCAGAGAATTAAACTGTATGGAATGTCAGCTCATTAGTGGGACTTTCCATCCAGGTTAATGTCTGCCCTGTCCCACTGTGCCTGGCTCTGGATTCTCTATATTCTATACTCCATGTAATATTATTCTCACAAGTCAAATGTCCACAGTCACTTTTCTGAACGAAGGCACTATGGGCTTCAGTAAGAATTGTCAATATACAGTGAGAAAGGCGTGTGTGGGGGGGTAGTCTACACATGTAATTCTATCAACTACAATATAAACCTGCAGAGGTTCTCACAATTCCCCATTCTACTTTACAAAAAAATACTAACATCTGTACCTCTGCTGGAGAGATTTTGCTCACTTCCTCTCTTGGTGACACAATAATGGGAAAATCTCCCCAATAGCAATAAAATCCTGACAGAGGTTCTAGCTCTTACCTGCTCTGTCCAAAACTAAAACAGATTTTTTTTGTCCGCAGTTGTCCTTTATTCTATACAATTCAATAAAACACTTCAAGGAGTATGCTGCCAAAGTACCCATGACAATCAATGAGGGTCCACTGTACATTGGGCAGGCCTGAGTAAATTGGGACTGGCTGCATTGGGTTACTGCACTTTTCTCTGTGCTAGGTTTAGGAAATAATCTAGCTACAGTATTTGTGGGATTTGTTAATTGCAAAAGGTGCAAATGACGTTATTGTCCGTCTATGTTCTCGTGGGCGGTCCACTTTATAAATAACATCCTATAATATCTAAACCATGTAACAGTTTGTCCTGTTTGTCTTTCCTCCCCGGACAGGAGTGATGTCAATCTATGCCATGTGCGTGCGATACGACGGGGTGGACGTAGACGACACTTACTGTAACGCTCTGACCCGCCCTGAGCCAGTCCACGAATTCTGCTCAGGAAGGGAGTGCCAGCCAAGGTACATTCTGTAGTAAACATAGTCGATTACTATGACTGCCACATCCCAGGACTGACCTCTCTGAGATCTGCCACAATCTGTGCAGCATTTCAGAAAAGCAAATTAAGTTGAAGAGTCATTTTCAGCTATTGCCAAGCTGACTCCAACTCTCTCAGCTTGGCATCCCTGATCTTCCTGTCCAGTACAAGGTCACTTGGGACAACGCAGGCTCCAGCAGCTGGTCATTTCTAGCTTGGAGGAGGGAGCAGCGGAGGAGTGTCTTACCTTGCTGTGCCTGTATGTTTGTGAAGACACTCACAGCTTACTAGCAAACAATGGTGGCTCCAGAGGATCGTGCAAGGGATGAAGCCACCCTATAACATGATATCAGGACTAATACTCAGGGTACCAGCTGATCCGGCAGGAAACTAAAACTTAAAAAACAAAATTCCTGACTGTGTTCGTGTCCACCAGGGAGTTTTGGGTGTTCCAGCTCCGTCTCTTACATTCTCCATAATAAGAAATTATAAAATATCCGTCAGGAAGATAATGGGCACAGACCCAGATATTGAAGTGCAGAGATCTCACCAATAGCATTTCTGAGAGATGGAAGAAACTTTTAGGTGGTTTACCTCTCCAGCATCCACCAGACACCGAAATGTCAATTTAAGGTGAAGTGGCCGTTTAATGAAACAACTGTGATAGAAGTATTGTTCTTAGTAAATGCACACAGTAGATACATCCTGTTCATTGAATGTGATCTTGTGGTGCCTCTTCTAGGTGGGAGACGAGCAGTTGGAGCGAGTGTTCGCGGACCTGTGGAGAAGGGTACCAATTCCGCATTGTGCGGTGCTGGAAGATGATCTCACCTGGATTTGACAGCTCTGTGTACAGCGTCCTTTGTGATTCTGCAGACATCACCAAGCCGGACGAGAGGAAAGTGTGCAGGAATCCAGCCTGTGGACCACAGTGGGAGATGTCTGAGTGGTCAGAGGTAATGCATCTACCTTCTGTGGCCAGCAATGTACAGCAGAGTCCAGGAGGGACAGTCTTATTTAGCACAAGTAGGGAACTGAACAGTCATTCGGGGGATTCCTTACATGCAGCTCTTTTATCCAACACAAGTTTATTAAAATTAAAAGCTTCCTCTAGTAAAATAACAAATGCTGCTTTTGTTGACCTTTCCATCATTAAATGCTCATTGCCTAGCTGCCCCTGACTTCAATACTGTCTCAGTCGCCGACCTGAAACAGGCATGTAGCAATTGCAGCCAGTGTGAAGTTAGACTTACAGAATTATCAGTCTTTTTTTCTTTTTGTGAAGTACAGAAATGATCCCATATTACTTATACAGTTTTACAAATGTACCTGTTATCAGTATAGTCTTTGAACGGATGACCAGATGTCCCAGTTATAACAGGGCCATTTCTGGCTCGTAGAAGTCCCTAACTGTCCCTGCAATGGAAGGGCTATACCTGCCAAGTATACACACTAAATAGCTTTCTTGTCTGCGGCGGATGGCAGGCCCATTGCTGTAAATGGACAGGCTTGCTGGCCGGGGAAAGTTAAATAGCTCTTCAAGTCATTACTGAATCCCAAATGAACACAGAGGATATGCCTACTGTGAGTCATAGTTGCTTAAAAAGAAAAGATGCAGCTCGGCTTATGCAAGACTCTGACTATTCATTTTATAATTATTATTACTTTGCAGGTTAGCCTGCAAAAAAACTTGTTTTGCAATTATTTGCCTTAATTTTGACTCTGACTCTTAAGCTCTAGAGTCAGGGGCCATCTGAAGTCTCATGGTGGCTAACCTGCCAATTGCTTAACATTACTAACTGTCTCCCAGTTTCAGAATGTACATAACATTATCAAATAACAGAGCCACATCCTCTTAAAGGATAACTTCACTTTCTTAAGGTTATCCTTTAAATCCTTGGTTCTCAACTGGTGGGTCGTGACCCAAAAGTGGGTCACGACCCAGTATTCAGTGGGTCGCCGCATGCCTTTCACTTTTCTAGGCGAGAGGCTCCCAGTCCTCCCACTAGCACAGCACTGTCCATTCTTACACTGAACAGCCATTCAAAATATGCTGCCCAGCTCTAAGTGTTGACTTGACGTGGAGTGGGCTGGGGGTATGGCCACGAGGGAGCTCGAACCATACATGCAATGCTTATAGCTCCCTCGCATGTCCTGTAGAGGTGCCTGGAATGGAGTGACATCACATTCTGGCTCCCGGCACCTCTATAGGGCACACAAGGGAGCTGTAAAGGCAATGCATATATGGATGGAGCTCCATCACAGCACAGCAGCCCACACTGCCATGCATTCCATTGCAGTGTGACTTGGGACGCGACTTAATGATCAAGGACAAATGTGGGTTCTGAAGTTACAAAGGTTGAGAATCACTGCTTTAAATGACCCCTCTCCCAAAGTCTCATTCACTTGCCCATGCTCCAGGCAGATTCATGCTGGGTCGCATGAGAGATGGCGTCACCTATGTCCATACACCTTGCGATTATCATTCGAAAAACGAATGCGATCGGGTTTTCGTATGATAATCGGCCATTTGATAGGAAGTGGATGATCACAATTACTGTGCAACTGGGTGAATTTCTTCGGTCAGGCTGGAAAACTTTTTTTGAATCGTACGAAAATTTATGGATTAGTGGCGTTTTCATACGGAAAAAATTGCAACATGAACACTGCACATGCGCAAACGAAAATCTGTTCTGTCAATCGATGAAATTTGGCCAGTTAGTATTGCTAATGAACGATAATCAAAATCTACATTGGTCTGTGCATGCAAGCAGAAATAAAATGGGGGTTCGATGACGGAACAAAAGAAATCGAACGATAATTGTTAGGTGTATGGGCACCTTGAGGCATAAATGAAATTTTGTCTACACATGCACAGAAGACTTCAGGACCAGATAGGAGACTTTCCAGTGACACCCTCATGACCTCCTGTCACAGTGTGGATCTACCCAGGGCCGGATTTACTCTCACTGCTGCCCCAAGGCCAGGTTCCTCAATGCGCCCCCCTGCCCATGCTCTACCAGGAGCATGGGCAGGTAAGTGTAAGTCTTGGAACAGGGATTCATTGAGGGCCCATTTATATGCGTGTGGGGGCATTAATGTGCGCCACACCAAAATGTCTCAAAAATCACACATGCCAAAAATGTTTGCCATGTGTTGCAGTGCATTCCAATTCATGTGTGTTGCCTTACTATGTGGGGTTAAAATGAATGGCACCGCAGTGTGGTAGCGTGCTCATTCACGCAAAACATAGCTGTAAATCAGCCATTAAAGGAACATTTTACCACATTTATCTTTAACTATGGGGCTCTGTTTTTGATGGTATGCACACTCAGAAGCTGGGAGGACAGGCGGGCAACAACTGTCACTGTTTAGGTGATCTCTGACTCTCAAAAGTTTAAGGCCACTAGATTTGGATGGACGACATAAAGAATCCATTAAGTTATAGCCAGGTAGGCCTATGCACTACTTCATTGTTTGTAACCCAGATTCTATCATCAGACTATTTGTTGCCAGTTAAAGAGCCCCCAAATCCGGGACTCATTTACAAATGTCATCTCCCAGTCCTGAAGTAGGAGCTCTGACACACTGCAAGAAAAATCAGGTTCCAGCCTCTTCCAGCAATTTTGCAGCTTGTATGAGATTCTTTACCGCTGACTGGCAAGAAAGAAGGAACAATGAGCTTCCTGACCATTCATCCAGGAAGCAGTAGATCAGGTATTGGTTTGCTGGGACTTGTAGTTCAGAACAGGTGTAGGAAGCTGTAATCCAAAAAGAGTATGTTATGCTTTGCTTTCTCTCCATTTCATAGATACACAATTATGTTATGGAGAGGCAGCTAAGACCCTACTAGAGACGTCTGTATTTTCAGTGCCAAGTCCCCTGTTCAGACCAAAGGGAACACTTAATAATTACTGTGTGTCCCCCGGCGACTGCGTCTTTGGATGTCCCCGGAGTGTGCCGCTCACCCTGCAGTTCTGTGCAGGTGAACGCAGCTTTTGATCCATCACAGGTGCAGCCGTGAGCGCCCCCCGCTAGTAACAAAGCCTTTGATGAAGCCACTGGGCACCATTACCGGCTATGCTAATCTCATTTAGATCTGTGTCTGCAGCCAAGTGCCAGTTGGCAGAGCATAAAACAGCCCAATTCAGAGGGATCAGAAAAGCATGAAAGGGACTAAGATGTGAAACGCGTCAGTCACACACTACCCTGCTGCAAACTGATAGGCTGTCTCTTGCTGGTGCTGCTTTATCAAATGCCACAAGATAATGTTTCATTCCACAGGAGGAAGCAAGGCTGACAGTTTGGGAAGTAGGCAGTGTTTGGCCAGAAAACCATTTGTTGACAAGTGGGGAGTGATTAACTCTTGAACATCCACAGCATGGCACATTTTTTCTATTCACTGGCCATGGGGAAATTGTGGTTATTGTGGAACTACAAAGCCAGGATTGCCTGTCATGCCGGGGTACAAAAAGCATGAGAGTCTTTATCCTATATCAAACAAGAGCCATGTTGTCTATACTTATTGCACAGAGCTTGATGTTTTTTGACCAAGTAGAACATGAATGGCTAAACCCATGAAGATCTGGTTGACACTTCCTGCATCAGTGACACTGGAGATTCCCAGCTTTGCTTTGTTCAACTTTGACCTCTCATCCTTGCCTTCTAAAATACTCTGTGAACTTTGCTCCTTCTGCTATCTCATTCTCCTCTCCTAAAATACTCTAACTCTCCTTTTCTGAAATACTTTGTTCTGCTCAATGACTCTGCGTTTTCCTCAACTCTAACTCTAGGGTTGTCACCTTTACTTCAAGCAAAACCCGAACACTCTAGCGGTGCGCGGACATTTTTTGGGGGAGAATGAGTCGCGGCGTATTCATATGTAAATAGTACCACCCCTTCATATGTAAATATCACAGTTGAGACTATTTTCAGTGGGGGGCCAGTAGCCCCTATCTTGATTTTGGTTGCCCCTGTCTGCCTGACATCTTGTGTCCAAGTTTCTGCTGCCATGAAACCCGGACACAGCATTCAAAACCCGAACTGTCGGGGTGAATCCTGGACAGGTGGCAACCCTATCTAACTCTCATCTCCTAAAATACTCTGTACTGCTGGAGGACTCTGCTCTTTCCTCTATCTAACTCTCCTCTCCTGAAATACACTGTTCTGATGGAGGACTCTGCTCCTTCCTCTATCTAACTCTCTTCTCCATAAATACTATGTGCTGCTGGAGGACTCTGCTCCTTCCTCTATCTAACTCTCCTCTCCAGAAGTACTCTGTACTGATAGAGGACTCCGCTCCTTCCTCTATCTAACTCCCCTCTCCAGAAACACTCTGTTCTGATGGAGGACTCTCATCCTTCTTCTATCTAACTCTCCTCTCCAGAAATACTCTGTTCTGATCGAGGACTCTCATCCTTCCTCTATCTAACTCTCCTCTTCAGAAATACTCTGTTCTGATAGAGAACTCTGCTCCTTCCACTATCTAACTCTCCTCTCCAGAAACACTCTGTACTGATGGAGGACTCTCATCCTTCTTCTATCTAACTCTCCTCTTCAGAAATACTCTGTTCTGATAGAGAACTCTGCTCCTTCCACTATCTAACTCTCCTCTCCAGAAACACTCTGTACTGATGGAGGACTCTCATCCTTCTTCTATCTAATTCTCCTCTTCAGAAATACTCTGTTCTGATAGAGAACTCTGCTCCTTCCACTATCTAACTCTCCTCTCCAGAAACACTCTGTTCTGATGGAGGACTCTCATCCTTCTTCTATCTAACTCTCCTCTTCAGAAATACTCTGTTCTGATAGAGAACTCTGCTCCTTCCACTATCTAACTCTCCTCTCCAGAAACACTCTGTACTGATGGAGGACTCTCATCCTTCTATCTAATTCTCCTCTTCAGAAATACTCTGTACTGATAGAGGACTCTCATCCTTCTATCTAATTCTCCTCT